TTCGAAGAAAAAAAATACTTGTATAAATTATCACTTTATAAGGTAAAATTAAATAAAAAACGGATTGATTTAGTATAAATTGGTACCTATAAAAAATATCACATTTCAATCTTTGAGTAAAGATTTGACATCACTGGTTACAGACCATAGTTTGTTTATTTCCTCACTTTATTGTCTTCTCTGAATAAATAGACACATTTTATAACAACAATCACAATTTCAGATGGACTGACTCCAGCTGATAACAGTACTCTTTGGTAATAACATACAAAATACGATAAACAAACAATATTCAAAAGTCGGTCAACTGCAACAAACTGTAGACAGCCTCCTGCGTCTGCTCCACCGTCGGCACCTTGAAGGGACTCTTGATGGGGCTCCAAGCGGTGGACGCGCCTCCCTCGAGCGTCACATGCTGCGGCTGCTCCGTGATGTCCACCAGTGCCTGCTCTTCCAGTTGGTTGTTCTGTAAGAGCTCCTGCTGCTGCTGATGCCTCTGGACCTGTTCGGCGTGGTCGGTGCGGATGTGTTCCAGCACCTGCGTCTTTTTGCCGTAGATCTGGCCGCACTCTTCGCACTGGAACACAGGCCGGTTACCAGAGTGGATCTTCATGTGGTTCGCTAGCCTCCGTAATGCATTGAACCTCCGTCCGCACAGCGTGCACTGGCACTCCGACTTGGTAACCTTTTTCTCTCCATGCGAAAACTTCTCATGGTTCTCCAGTGTCTCGTGGGTCTTGAATCTCCTGCGGCACTTGCGGCACTCATACTTCTCGTTGGCTCTCAGGTAGCGTAGGTATGGCCCCTTGTTCTTCTTTTTCCTGGGCGGCTCACTGGCATCCGGCTCGAGCTTAGGCTGGGACTGCGCCTCGGCTTCCTTCCCCTGAGGAGGGTGCTTCGTCTCCAAGTGGAATGTGAGCTTGAAGGCTGAGAAAAATACCTTGTAGCAGTGGGGGCAGATGGCGATGTTGGCACTCTCCCGCTCCTCCTCAGAGTGCTCCCAGATGTGGCTGCGGAATTCGTTCGCTGTCGTGCTGCTGAAAGAGCAAGCCTTGCAAGAGAATGGATCCACATCTTCATGATTCTGGTTGACACGGTGTAGAAGCAAGTGGTCACGGGTATAAAAATGAATGTTGCATGTCTTGCATGCAAATTTTAAGTCCCGCACCGACTTTACCTTATGAGTCAATCTAACATGTTTTTTATAAGCGTCCATATTTGTTAACTTGTGGTCGCACATTGGACATTCAAATGGATGATGATTTCGATGTTTGTTCATGTGATCAAACAACTGGTCTTTGGTTGTGAAATCAAGCTGACATATTGTACACACAGGTGAGCGCTGAGAGTGCATCTGCTTTTTATGGACATCCATGGCCTCTTTGCTGGACAACTGGACATTACACTCCCCACACTTCTCCTTCAAAGCGCCCATGTGGCCCTGCATGTGGGTGAACAAGGCAAGCATTGTGGGAGCCCGGAACTGGCACACATTACATCTCTTAACAATAGACCTCGTCAGGATGCCCGGTGCAGGAGGGCACAGGTCTATCATCCTCAGGAATTCCTCCTCTGAGACCCCTATGCTTGGCCTCACATGATCCTCGTCACCCTCAAAGTCCCCACTTCTCCGGGTCGCCACCTTGCGCTTGCCCTTAGCCACTGGAAGCTCCTCATAAGGATCTATGTCATCCTGTTCGAAACTGATGGCTGACACAGAGGGGCTTGAGATGATCTCGGACACATTCTGGGTGAAGATGTGTCGGATTTCTTTGCTGTTCAATGCCGGGCCTTTGCTTCTGAGAGGCTGCTTCAGGAGCTGGTTGTTGTATCTCTCCTGCATTGACTGAGAAGAAGAGGGGCATATTAGATATAAGTATGTACAATACATCCACACATTTATTAACTTGCAAATATTAAATGTTGAGAAGACCTGTGTACAAATATGTTTACTAGATTCTACCTTAATTTTCATAGACACATATCTGCTGTAAAAAGTAATAATAAAAAAATCCCATTTAAGACCTATCTTCTTATAGTGACGTTTTATTATTGTTTCAGAGGTTAGTATTCATATATATGTTATTATGAATTGGAACTTAAAAAAGCATTTTTTAACACTCATGTTTACCTTTTCACCCAGAAGCTCATTCCTGGCCAAGGATCCATTGTGGGAATGTCCTTTGAGCAGTTGATTCATCTGCTTGCCAAGCGCCGCACACTCCCTACACAGGACTTGGACTCCAACAATTGTTTTGGATCCCCTGGTGAATGTGCAAGAAGTAGGATTGCCATTCACCACCACAATGCCTTTACACTCTTTCGAGAATAGGCTTTCAAATGGAGTGGAGATGATATGGCCTTTCTGCTTGAAGAAGTGCCTAAGTTGCTCATGGCTTTCCAGGTGTGTCTCAAAGAGAGCTGGTTTTAGGCCAAGACATAGTTTGCGGTCTGGGGATAGGCATCGAAACAGGTGGTTGATAGCATTTGCTGAGGTTAG